ACCTGCCTTGGCCTCCCAAAGTGCTGATATTACAGGCCTGTGCCACCGTGCCCTGACTGCTATTATTTTCTTACAAAAGAAAAATACTTGCTGATTTGTGGTGATGAGTATAAATGTACACTACATAGTAGTACTAGCTGCAGAGAACCATGGATCATCAGTTCTATATACAACATGGCCAATTGGTTTGGCTAAAACGTATGTTTAGAACTGTTTTCTTGCTGAAAATATCTTGTCTTAAGCAGTAACAACACTTACTGTTTTCTGCTAAAATTGAATGTTTCAAATAAATCAATTTTTTGCCTTAAGTGCCAACCCATTTTGAAGGCTTCTCAAACATAGCAATACTAATTTCCCTGCCTTCTTAAACAAATTATACAGAATATAGGGTAGATTTCATTGATGACACAAGGTCATTTTTTAAAACCACAATTACTATTCATAGTTAGTTCTCAGAGCCTGCGTGTCCCTACTCTAAATGTTACTAGGTTCAAATCTTTTATTTAAGTTTTTCTTCGATACCAAGTTGTTCATTATTGCTTGTTATGGTTTAAAAGATGCTTGCTTTTACCAGTTTCCCTCCTCTCTTTTATCTGTTATTTTTAATCTGTTGGTGAAAGTTTATTAAAATTCTATTCAAAATAAAGCAGCCTCTTACTGGGGATTTGAAAAACTGTCCCATGAGTATAGCTTTGGTGATAGAATCTAAGAAAATCTATTTAGGTTTCTTCAGGCTTTATTTCAGATTGCAGACCATTTCAGACAGTGATACTGTTAATGTACTACAAACCTAACAGAAATAACAATCATGGCTCATGTTGACTATTAGTAATAGCCTTTGACCTGTTTTTTTTTTTGCTTTGACTCATACCTCTGCACAAATTAACCAGAGTGATCCTTAAAAATGTAAATCTGATTATGTCGCATCTCTGCTTAAAATCTTCCTCTGGCCTCCTCAGACCTGGAATAAATCCAGGTACTTTCCCCTTGCCTACCTCATTTCCCACCTCTTTCTCTGGTTCACTGGGATTTCTTGCTGTTCCTCAAAGAATAAACTCTCATCTCAGATATTGGGTGTTTGTCATTTCCTTATCCTAGCACCCTTCTCTGCTTGGCTTTCTCCCTATTTCCTTCAGATTTCTTTTTAAATTTCACCTCCTCAGAGATGGCTTCCACAAGCATACAATTCAATACAGCAACTTGCCACTCCCCAAATCTCAGCCTGTTTTACTTTCTTCAGAGTGCTACTAACATTTGAAATTAACTTACATATATGTTTATTATTTATCACCCATCTAAGGATGTAAACTCCATGAGAGCAGGAGTTTTGAAAATTCATGAATGCATTTCCTGAGTACAGAAAAGGAATGTCTGTAGTGGCTCAACAGATAATTTTTGAGAGACTACTTTAAGTTATTTAATTCCCATTAGAATTCTAAGAGGTAGACATTATTGAATGGTCATTTCACAGGTGAACAAATTGGATCTTGAAGAAGTTAAATAAACTTGTCCCAAATCCAGTCACTAAATACTGAAAGCAAGGGAGCTGAGAGCAAAGGAGTAGGTCATGCCTTGTGTGAGCTCTGATTGATATTGATATCTAATTTAGATATGATCACTGAAGTCGCTTGGGTACTTTACACAAGCAGCAAACTTGATTTGAGAGTAAGTACATAGGAGAGAAAAGAAAAATGTTAAGTATAAGTTTTTCTTTTCCCAAGGAAGAAAATTAGCAACTGATGGTTAGGTACTTGAGGCTAACATGAAAACATACCATGTAGCTAAATCCCACCAAGTTTTCCTGAACCTTGAACCTGGAGGCAGCTGGGGAGTAGAAACAGTTGCATCAGAGGTAGAAAAACTTTTCTGGCAGTGCCAGAGGCAGAGACTGAATGGAGGTCGCTGGGGCTGTCACAGCAACTTGGCCAGAAGGTCTGGTATCTGCAGTGGGACAGAGCTACTCAAGAGATACTTTGGTGTGTCAGTCAGTCATAAATCTATTGCTTATAAATTTAATACTACCTGGCATTAGTGTGTTGTCAAGTGTACTATAAGCAAGAAAAACAAAAAAAGGAAACCACAAAGGAATAAATTGACAGTATTAGATGTGGTACATACTAAGATATGCCACCCAGCTCCTCCTGCAAGGATGGACATGGTGCCAAGCTACAGTTTTGTCAGTGGACTGCCTCCAGCTGTTGGCTCCTGCATGATCTGCTTCAGCTGCAGAGCTGCCATGCTTGAGATCACATCCTTCCCAGAACTGCCCACATCCAGTGACTGACAAAGGCATAGGTCAAAAGGCCTATTTACTTTGGCCTAATCACAACATTGTGACAGATGACACTAGCTCAGAGGTCCCCTCTGGGTTTGCCAACTTTTTCTAGGTCTGCATTAGAGTACTCTCATTTCTTCTGCTTATTCCCGCTTCTTTGCTCTTACCCTTCACAGGCATGGATCCCTGACAGTTATACATATAAATCTCTTGTACTTCAAACCCCTTTCAAGGTCTTCTTCTGCAGAACCCCACCTGTGACATTAGGTTTATTCATTCAGCTAATAAAATGTTTCTATTGCTACATTAGAACTAAAAGGCTCTGGCTATCTAGTGATGACCGAAACAGTCACAGTCACTGAACTCATGGGGGTTATCACCTAGTAGAGGTGACAGATGTTAAATAACAATGAAAAATAATAAAAACCTATATTTTATTAAGTGTCATTAGGGTCTGTGGAAAAAAATTACACCCGCTAATATTGACAAATCTATCAGCTAGCATATATGTGAAGTACTGTTTTCATGTTAAGATTTTGACAATATGGATAACTACTTAGAAGTTACTCTTCTATCAAAATAACAATAAAATTGATATAACAAAATTTTGTTGACTTTATTTAATCCTTTCAAATCTGCAATCTTACACAATCATCCAGTTACTTATAAATGTCCTATCAAACTGGATTACTGGTAAAATGAGACTGCATGTGGACTTTTGAAATAAGGCAAATGTGCACTCTTAACTAGTAGAGATCTACCTGCCAGCATCCACCCTTCTAAGAGCACCTCAGTTTCCTGTGGTGAATGGCCTCCTCCAGGACCCCTTTAGATTCATGTGGTATATGTGAGGAGTGTCACCTACATTTAAGTAACAATGAACAGTATTTTCCATCCCCTAGCTACAGCGGCTGGTTCAGGAATGTGCACATAATCCAAGGAAGACCAGTAACAGTGAGATCCTAGACTTCTGCTGGAACTATAAGGCAAGAATATCTCATGCCAGTGGGATCAGAAAGCTAGCAGAATATAAGCCTTGAGCTTCTAGTGGCCATCATTCTGTGTGAGAATGAAACAGACTCAGAGTAATACTGACAACAGCAGAGGAAAGCACTACTATTACATCCTACTTACTATGTGTCAGGCATTGTTTTAAGAGCTTTATATACACTAAACATGTAATCCTTACAATGTATAGATGTGAATAGATGTGGAATATTGCCCTAGGTTACACACAAGTGAATGACACAAGTGGGATCTGAATTTTAGTGGGATCCATGTCCCTCATGCCATGTATACGCCTCATCATAAAAATGAGAGCCAAAGGAAAAAGCCTGTCTCAGAGAGAACCATCTGAGCACCTACCTCCACACTGGACCTGCAGTGTGTAGCTGGACTCATCACCTAATTAAGTCAATACATGACTTTTCTTTTTGCAAAATCAGTCTGAATTGGGTTTATATTATGGCAACTGAAAGAGTCCCAGGAGGGTGAGGCTGCAGTTAACGATGATCACACCACTGCACTCCAACCTGGGAGAATAGGTGAGGCCCTTTCTCAAAAAAAAAAAAAAAACAAAAACAAACAAACAAAAAAAACATTTGCATATATTTTTATTTTTTAAAAACGAACTCAAACTCCTGGGCTCAGCATCCCTAAGTAGTGCTGCGATTACAGGCATGAGCCATTGTGCTCGGCCCTAAAATATTTTTGAAGGACATTTATGCATATGATAACATGCTATTTTTCAAAAATAACAAAACTACATATTCATTATAACAATTTTGTAAATAAGAAATGTATGTGGAACAAAGCCACAAATATAGCAAAATATAGTGATGATCTCTCTCAAAAAATTGTGGGAAACTTGATTTTTTATTTTCTCCTAAATTGTTGATGTTTTCTACAATAATGTTTTAAAATTACAGGAGGCAAAAAGTTGTTAAACTCTTAAGATGTAAAATACTCTTAACTCACACTACAAAACCACTTGGGTATCTTATACCAAACTGAACCTAAATTAAACTTACAGAGATTCAATCACAGAATGTAAACTCCATGAAGGCAACTTCCTTTTTCCTGCTTTATTTACTGCTGTACCTCCAATGGCTACATCAGTCTCTGGCACCTGAGTGCTTTTTCAATGAAAGGTGAAGAGAAATATGAAGTGGCAGTGTATTTCCACCATACTAGCAAGACGTTTATTACATAAGAACTGTTTTTTTTTTTTTAAACATTCTAGTTAAGACACGACATAATTCAATGGTCAAGCTAATAAATCTATACCATTTTAAGAGTCTGAATTCAGTTTTAAGCGAACAAATGCAGAGAAAAGGAGTAAAGGATACAGAATTATCTTGATATGTACTGCTGTATTATTACCATGCTAAAGACCTCTTTTGTTTCATAAATCTACCAATATTTACTGAGAATGAAAGCTGTAAATCGAAGGCTAGAGAAAGAGAACTGTAAATAGGGCTGTTCATACTAGTTGCCCCCAGTAGTTCCCAGGCCTCACTTCCAAGCTGTCTTAAGTAATTTTTACTTTCTGAATACAGGAAGCCAACTGTGGAGGAGTCAGACAGTTGAGGACTGACTCCTTAAAAATTGGCTTCAGAGAAAAGCATAATTACAACTGAGGCATCAGGTCTTAAGGTTTAAAACAACGGTCTTATGGTTGTCACATTACCATGTTATGTCATCCCTGAAAATAAATGCACAAGCATCCCAGAGTCTCCAAAATCTTTATTTTTAAGTCCAACCTCTTTTTAAGAAGTAGTAAAATGAAGGAGCATTGTCCGTAGTCACCTAACAAAAGCAGTCCATTATTCTTGACATTAAAAATTGAATGAAATGATTTAAAAAAAACATAATACATTAACATTTACATAATATATTTAGAATCACATGGTTTCTAGTGATTAGAATTTAGTCATGCCTGGAAAGGAGCAGAAGACAGTGGCTATGCAGCACATTCGTTATAAAGGATACATAAATGGTATACTTAGGATGACTAATATTAAGAATTTAAACAGTGTATCTTTTTCCCTCAGAGGAAGCAATTTTAGTTTCTAAAGAGCATTTACTTCTGACATCTCAATTCCTGATTTCAGTGGCTGCAGGCTGTGTACTTCTGTGCCACATTTAGGACAAGTAAAGTACATGTCAAATAAGAAACTACTCTTAGCACAGAAATAACAGAAGATATGCTCACATCCTATGGTGTGAGGCAAGGTGGGCCACTCTCCACACAGAGAACATTCTTTGCCACTGGTGGCTAATATATTGTCACTATTAGGTGTGCCAGTAAGAGGGATGCACCACGAAGATAGCTTGGCTTTCAACTTCTGAACATTGATAAGTGGTAAGAGAAAAATCAGAAATTCAGCAAAACCATGCCAGAGAAGTTCCCTATTCATGTATTCAAAGCCAACTTCACGTATGTTTTGAGGCATGCAAAACACAGAATGAATGCCTAGGAGACGTTCTGTCAAAGTTGCAAACTTTCCCCTCTGAAGGAAAATCAAAAAATTAATCAGCCCACCTAATTTCAAAAGTCCAACCACAAAATTCACACACTGCTTGACTTTCCCAAATGATGCTACATGATGGTTTCGAAGCAAATCGTAGCATCGTTCTTCTAACCACCTCCCACCAATTGTACAAACAGCATACCAAATTTTTTGATTTTTACTAGGTGGCTGATATCTCAGGTTAGGGGAAAAATCATTTTTGTACTGAATATTCAAAACTGACTGTCCCACTGTGGCATTTTTGGAGTAGATGGTGAATCGCCACAAGAAAAGCCATAAGCATGCTTTCACCTCTGGTTCAAAGCGAGCTAATAGCCCAGGTTTAAATCCATGAAAGCACTGAGTAAACTGGGACCACACCAGCTGCTCCAAGGCCTTGTTTAGTTCAAGCGCATCCAACTGGCTTATTCTTAGCACTCTGTTTGTACTCTTTGCATTCTCTTCTTTGGAAGTCATGTCTTCTCTGAAGGTCTCTAGGAAAAAAATACAATTCAAGAACATTAGCAAAGAGTTAAAATCTTGTACAATCTCCTTAATTTATGCCTGGAAACTGTAATACACAAATTACACAGGACACATAAGAGATGAGCCTTTCAGTAGTCTAAAATAGTGCAGGGAATCATCACTTACCTGAAACTTCTTTCTGTCTTGTCTCTCAGAGCCTTTCTTTTCTCCCCCTGCCTTTTTTTCTTCTTAATTTCTTTTTCTTTTTTCTTGGCCCTCTTCATCAAAGAAATAATAACAAACAACAGAACAGAACAAAACCTGTACCGTATTTCCACAAATATACTTCTAAGCAATACTCCTTGGTCAGATATTCTAGCAGGGAGATATTCAAATCCTGAAGCTAACAGAAAGGAGGATGAATAATATGACTAATGAAGAGATATAGGAATGTAATAAGTACAACTACATAGAACATTGCAATAGATGGTTAAGTCAAGACCTCAGTTTATTTTCCAGCACTTCTACTGATTTCAAAGGTATTATTTTTCAGTAAGCCATTTAATCTTTCTCAAATACATTTTATATGTGTTAAGGAAGTTAGAAAAATAATGAATGATACATGTTTATTATTCTATCACACTACCGCAGAAAATAAATAGTACTAAATCTTAGCATGAAGCAACAAGAATGGAGAAAAATCATTATTCAGGTACTATAAATGTATACATCATGCAGTACTCTAAGAAAACTGTGATACAAAAATATATACCACAATAATTTCATAAATACATTAAGGAAACAAATTGGTGCTAAAGGGAAAAAATTTAAATGAAATACAAAAAGCTGATTAATGGTTACCTACGTATGGCTTACTGATTCAATATACATATGTTATTATAAATAACTATTATGTGCAAACTGATGTAATTTAAACACCCAGTCACTGCTACAGTCCAGTATACAGACCAGTTCAGATATTTTAAATATTATTAACTAACTGGAAAATCCACCCATGACCAGAAAAAAAAAAAAAAAAAAAAAATGTCAGGCTTAAATTTAGTTGCTTCTATGAGTTTAACTTTTTTAGATTCTACATATAAGTGAGATCATACTTATAAGTGAGATAATACTTATATGTAGAATCTAAAAAAGTTAAACTCACAGAGGCAGAAAGCAAAATGGTGGTTGGTAGAGGCTGGAGGGGCGAGGGAAATAGGCGATGTTAGTCAAAGGATACAAATTTTCAGTTATAAGATGAATATGTTCTTTTTTAGATTCTACATATAAGTGAGATCATACTTACATGTGGATAAGATCATACTTACATGTAGAATCTAAAAAAGTTAAACTCATAGAAGCAGAGAGCAAAATGGCGGTTGGTAGGGGCCAGAGGGGTGAGGGAAATGGGCAATGTTAGTCAAAGGGTACAAATTTTCAGCTATAAGATGACTATGTTCTGGGGAACTCATGTCCACAATAGCATAGTTAATCATGCTCTATTATGATTTCTTTGAAATTTGCCAAGAGCAAATCTGAAGTGTCCTCATCACACACATACACATAGATGGTAAATAACTATGAGTGGTGATTGATGTGGTAATAAACTTGATTGTGGCAGTCACTTCACAATATATACAGATATGAAATCATTACATTGCACACTTTGAATATATACCATTTTTATTTGTCGATCATACTTCAGTAAAGCTGGGGGAAAAACACAAAAAAATTAAAATGGGTTATCACCACTCTGGGCTTGATTATCATATCTAGGCCTTTAAAAGGCTAATATGCTAACAGAAAGAACAGTTACAGAGGGAGGCATGGATCCTGCCAGAGCTCACTGCTATGGTCTGGTCATGTATTCTTTGACAAGTCATTTCCTCTGACCTTGACCTATTCCTTGGTTTCTTCACTTATAAAACAAAGGGCTAGAGACAAAATGAAATTCAAATTCCTTTCAAATTCTATTCTGTTATGATTTTTACTAAAAAGATGATATATGCAAATTATTAGAAGGTAAAAATAAACTTGTCTTTCTTGAAATTGGGAGTATCTTTGACAACAGAAAATGTTTTCAAGAGAGAAGTTCTAAATTTACCCATGCATCCTAGAAGACTTAGTGGCAGAAGACTACATGTTTAACAAGTTCAAGTCTAGGAAACAAAAATGACCACTGAATAGGTTGTTTGGCCCTATTTTTCTCTCAACCCAGATATTTAACAGGAATGCTTCTCACCATAAATGCCAACCATCTTCTGGAGAGATCTCACCTTTTTCCCGTTCCTGCAACTCCCTCAAGACTGGACAGCCTATAGCTATGGCAGTGGGAATTTCTGCTGCAAGTTCTTCTGTGAAATCCTTGCCTCATACTTGCCAGAAGCTACAAACAAAAAAGAATAAAGTTAGAGAGTTCCCTTTCCTTATTTTACAAATCAAATCTATTACCAAGGACTGTTGATACTTGGTCTAAAATTTTTTCTACCTCATCTGTCATTTCCTATTCCCTGTAAGCCTTTTCCTGAATACTGGCTACTCTCCTCTCTCGTGGATTCCATCAAATTGGTCTGTCTTACCTTCTGCCTCCTTCAGTGCCTTCCCCACACTGCCACTGTTCTAAAACACAAACCTCCTCAAACCCACTCCCAGCATGCTTTCTTTCCTTATGCATCATACCCAGTCAAAAAGTACCCCCTTCTCTTGTTTACCAGTAGACGTCACTGACTGTTCCTTTTGTGTGGAGCAGTCTGTTTCCATTCTTTAACTGAAAACTCATACTAAGTTTTTAAGTACTGGCTCAGACATAACTTCCTTCTGACTCTCCAAATTTGGGTTGCTGCCCATCTAGCTGTTCCCTTGGCACTCTATTCTTTCTCTTTCTTGGCCTCTATGTACTGTACATAAACTACTTTTAAATTGTTTATTTCCTCCACTAGAGAATAAGCACTGTTTTAAAGTTTATTTGAAGCCTTATCACGGTTGAATCATAACAACTATCGCAGTTCCTTGTACACAGAAGGCACTCTACAAGCACTAGATAAATGGATAAATGAAAAGGATCAAAGTCTGGGATGTGGGAAGGATAGAAAATATAAATTCCCATCCATTACCCTTTAAAACTATTCCAAATTACCATATCCAGAATAGTGATTATTAATAATTTCACTAATTTCAACATGTTTATTGTAATCTGTTATATACCTATTAATGAGAGTTAGTGATACAATGATACAACAGACACTGTCTCAATCCTTGTGGAGCCTATAGTCTACTGTGGAACGAGAGAGAAATGTAAGGGTGTGCTATGTAAAATGAACAGGTGATTACAATAAGGTGCGATCAGTGATATGCAAGGGAAAATTAGGGCACTATGGTTACAACTATACATGAGAAGGTCAGAGAAGGCTTCCTGTGAGAGGCAATACCTAAGCAGCCACCTGAAGGATTAGCACATCAGCCTGGTAAAGGAGGGTAAGAATGTTATTGCCAATGGTGGGAAGAGTAGGTACAAGACTAGATGTGTACAGATAAGGCTGGAAAGAAAGCAGGAGACAGGTCCTAAAAGCTCTAGAAGCCAAACTGAGGAAGCTTTATTTTATGAAGAGTGGTATGCAAACAAGTAGAAGATTTACATTTTCTGGCCACCCTAAGCAAGAATAGATTAGAGGCTGAGAAAAAGACTGGAAGCATAGAGACTAGTTAACAGGTTGTTTGAATGATCTAGTGAGAAACTAGTAACAGCCTAAATTAGAAAACTATCAATGGGGACAGAGAGAAAAAAGTATCTTTGAAAGCAATAAGGTGGTAGAACTGACAATATCTAGAAAGAAATAAGCCAAGAAAAACTGACTTAAGTAACTGAATGATAGTGATCCAAGTCCCTGAAACAAGAAATACATGAGGCAATACAGGTGTGAACAGAAAGATAATAAATACATGCAATTTTAAAGATCTGGGGCTTCTATGAGACATCTAAGTGGAAAAAAGTTCAGTAGGTAGTTAAGGAAATGTGAGAGAGAAAATCTGGGTAGAATTTTAAAAGTCTGATGCCCCTCTGGTAAAACTAACCTATTTCAAATCTACTTGATCTACGTAAGTGCTAAAATCAAGGCGGCAGTAATTTAAAACAAGATAGATCTTGCCTATTTGTAACACATTCAACTTTCTTTGTAACAACATAATCTTATTCTCAGAGTTTTTAACTGCTAACAGATATATATCTATGATGAAGATACATATATCTCTGGGCTTTTAATCCTTCTAAACTGGTCTTCAACATCACAGTTCTGTGGTCTCTGCTTCTCTAGTTTAATGGTTTTCAAACTTGGGAGTTCATCAGAATCACATAAGAAAACAGACATACCTCAGATACACTGCAGGTTAGGTTATAGACCATTGCGACAAAGCAAAAATCACAATAAAGTAAGCCACACCACTTTTTGTCTGTCCAATGCATATAAAACTTATATTTACACTATACTGCAGTCTATTAAGTGTGCAACAGCATTGTGCCTTAAAAACAATGTAAATATCTT